GAACTCTACAGGATTGTGCTGGAGATTACAATGTAAGTCTAGGTCCTCCAGTCGAAAATACCACTTTTACAAGTTTTCCCTATGCACCATCACATATTTATTTTCGACTTACATCACCTTGCAACATGTACGTATGTCTTCACCATTGGTTGTTACACAACACTTTATAGGCGATTTTGAAACTCCACAACGTCATCTTCTCACACAACTTTATTTTATTGTGCACTTCCCAGATCCTTCTCTGATAACAGAGATCCCCTTTACCTTTTGAATGACTGTACTAGGCATATGAGGTGAAATAGAAGTTGCACTTATGCTAGCTTAATCATTTTTAAAGAGGCAATTTTATGTTGTTTGGACACATCTTATGTGCCTACTGTTCCATGTTTAGGTTCTCTTGTAAGGCCAAAGGTTGTTAAGAGTGTCCACTTCTGCCCCGCTACAGAAAAATTCACACTTCGCGAATACAGAGACATTACATCCAACATGGGCTTGCCAACTGGTTCAGTGTATCCAACACGGGTAACCTCCACGGTTGTCTTTTCTTTCCCCCTTCCCCTGTACACATCCTCTCTGATTTCTGACAAAAGGGAACTCTTTGTGGCATTAATATGTTCAGGATGAGAATGGCAACTTGTTATGAGAGGATTGATGCCTGTGAAAAAAAGATGCTATCCTGATGGATTTAGTCTCTCTAACTCAAACCTACGTGATGTTTTATTTCAGGAGTTGACAATCATGAGCCAAGTATTAAAAAGCATGCCAAAACAAGCACATTTTATTTCAATATCAGTTCATCTCTAGCTGCTGAATCCATCACTTGATTAAATGGAGCATTAAGGATACGCATATAGACATCAAAACATGTTACATATAATTCTTTTTCTAGCTTCTTTAGGCTAATTTCCATTTTATAAGGACTTAAGAAGACTTCCAACGTCTGGAATAAGTTTTATGGTCATCTCTACGCGACTTGGTTTTTTCTCAAACATATATTTATAAGCATTTCTTCTTTATTTGCATATCTATGAGAACTAAGGATGTCTTTTTAATTAGACGATTAAATCTCAATTTTCCATGGGCATTATGGAACAAAATCGTAAGGAGTAACTTTATGACAAGTATCTTTAAATTGCTTGCATTATGTGTGTTGTCGAGAAATTATGGTTATAGATTTTTTGCAAATTTATTGATAGAGAATGTTGCAAAATAATTAAATAATGCAGGCTTTCTGAAGCACCCTTTAGGCCAAGAGAAGTCCTCTTCGAGAAGCAAAAGTTATTTCAGAGCATTCACAAACATACTTTCAGTTCTGGGAAGTTACTGGAACTTCCTGACCTTAGTATACATTATGTAAGTGGCCGTTAACTTTTATTTCATTATTAGTCCCATTCTCCAATTATAAATATCTTTGGTTTTTTCTAATGTGAGCAAATGGTATTCAATGTCAAGGTATTGAGTAAAATTCCCAAAGGCCCGTTGAAAACCACGAAGTTGGCTTCATCCTGCTGATGTGCTCTTACCAGGTTTTCACATTGACATGTTGGCTATCTGTGTATTGTGTTGTTGTAACTCATTCATCTAATATAGTTTGGGACCTTGGGTTTGACTATTTTTAGGTTTGTAATTTAGAAATGAATATGGTATTTGTGAAGAAATTTTTGATTTTTCATGGTGCCACAAAAGTTCTGTACTGCTTGTGGGAAGTGACTTGTTTATGCTGAGAGTAAATTATCCCATGGAATTCATTATTCGATAGTCATGGTTATTTTTGGATGGCCTTGAAAAATGGTTAAGTTCTTTATCCTCGGACGACAATTATGTTGATGCTTATTGACCAATCCAATCTAAGTCATGAAGCTAGCTCTACAATGGATGTGTAGTATTAAATAGTATTGTGTGAGTAGAATGATGTTTCTGAAGGTGTGAATGTATAGAAAAATTGAAGTTATAAGATAAGATGACATATAATTGTAAATGGTGGAATTTAAAGGTGCCTAACGTTCATGTTATTTTTCATATTATTCAATTCTGAAATTATAATTTATGTTATTTTTCCTATTATTCAATTTTGAAATTACAAAAATTATAACGGGTATCGTGCAACGCACGATCCCCACTAGTATTGACTAAAAAGGTCGATAAAGGAAGAAAATAATATAGGGATGGCTGCATATGATGACCTTGTTAAGAATATTTTTTGAGAATATGTTTTCTTAAAAGTGATATTTTTTAAAAAAATATATGACTAAAAATTTTCAAAATATGAAAAAATTATGAATTCACGTATAAAGATATTATTTTATTGGGAGAATGTGAAGATTAAAAATTTGTTTTAAAAAATGAATTTAAAAAAAAAATTGTACAAAATATGGGCTTCATGGGACACAAGTTGAGACATACTAAAATATCTCAATTTGCCTCCATCTTTCTTCATTTACTTATTTATTAACTTCTTATTATTATTTTTATTTTAATACCATTTAAATTTAAATTTAAAAATAAAAACATAAGAGTCAAGGCGGGACTATTTTTCCATACCACTGCCACAATTTCCCATCTAACCAAGGATCGCATCCCATTTGGGTCAGGACCATGCGAGACGAAGTATTTTTACGTCCCTCATAGAATTCACATATATTTGAACAACTAAACAAATGTATTATTTAGGAATCGAACTCGAGTCATTACAGCATGGCACTATTTTAATCCCCTATTTGACAATTATTATTTCAAAACTCTTTAATCATTATACTTGTTTTTAATCACACATTTACACAACAAAATATTGTGCACGTAAAACCAAAAAAATCGTACTTTTGTATTACACATTCTTCTAAAAATCACTATTCAAACTCTATTTTGTCAAAATAATAGCCATCTAACAAGGGCAAAAATGAGTTCGTTCAAACCTAATCATGAAAGTAGAGATCATGTTCTTTAATATATGCCAATTTTTGGTCCGTTCGATCCGACATTTGTTAAACAATAAAATATCTTATACATAATTGCCAAAAAAAAAAGAAGCTACTTTTTAACCACACTTTCTCCCATAAATCACTATTCAAAACTCTATTTTCTCAAAATAATGGTCAT